GAAACATTTCCTCCTGTCTGGTCCCTTCCCTCAGGATCGTTTGCACCCTCACTTAAGGCTGACATTAACTGTTTCTGGGGGGCTGCCTGCTCAGGCAGGTGACACATGCTGGCTGGACGAAAATGCAAGGATCCCAAAAGACCCGAAAGTGGCTACTGGCAAAATAGTTGATATGGCTCAGTGGTTAGTGCTCTTGGCTTTCGGTCAGAACGGTTGTGGGTTTAAATTCCAGACCAAGTCAATAATGAAAGATGACAATCTAGTACAGTAGTAAAAGAATACTGAGGAAAGGTGACCGGACCCAAAACATTAACTCTGATTTTTTCTTCACAGATGCTGCCAGACCTGCTGAGCTTTTCCAGCAACTTCTATTTTTGTGTCTGTGGAAGATTGCTGAACTGTTTGAGGTGCTGTCATTTGGGTGATATGATAAATTAAGTTGCCAGATGCCCTTTCAGGTAAGCATATTTCAAACAGGTAGGGATGTTTCCCCTGATGTCCTCATCAATATCCCAAAACCATCTACTTAGTTGATATTGCACTGCTGTTTATAGGAGATTTCCATATACAAATTGAACATTGTACTTCATAAATTATAGTAGAACCTCAATTTCAAAAATACTTCACTGGTGCTGAGAGACTTTGGTATGTCTGAGTGGTTGTGAGAGGTGCTATTTAATGTAATTGCCTCTTTCATTCTTACAGAATTGGACAGTCCTTGTAGTTTATGTTGAAAACAGGCAGACCTATGGAGTCCGATTCCCAAAATATTGTCAAAAGTCCTAGGCAGTGAAAACTAAATTAGCTTTATCATGTGGCCCATAGCCATTTTTTTCCATTAGGGTTTACCAAAGTGTACGGTCTAAGTCTACCATTTGTGACAATGTCAACTGTTGCTCTCTAACATGCGGCCTCTAAGACAGGTTATGAATTCAAATTCTATTTGAGGTTTTTTTTTATTAATTCATGCATTGTGGATGTCGCTGGCTGTGTCAGCATTTATTGCCCATCCCTAGGTGCCCTTAAGGAGGTGGTCATGAGCCGCCTTCTTGAACCTTGAAGTACATAGGCTGACACTCCCAATGCAGTGCTGAGGGAGTACCAACCTGATGGAAACACGGTCTTTCAGTTCAGTTCTTTTCCAAAAGCCCTATTTGCCAGTTCAGGCAGACGTATATGACATCCCATTATTTTGAAAAAACATATGGGAATTTTTCACTGGTGATCCTTCAATCTTTACCTCAATTTCATTCAAAAATAGAAATTGCTGGAGAAACTTAGATGGATTGTCCATGCTAAATTACCAGTAGTGTCCAGTGATGTGCAGGCTAGGTCGATTAGCCACGGGAAATGCAGGGTTACAGGGTAGAGGGATGGGTCTGGATGTCATGCTCTTCGGAAGGTCGGTGTGGACTCGATGAGCCAAGTGGCCTGCTTCCACACTGTAGGGATTCTATGATTCTAACTCAGCAGGTCTGGCAGCATTCAGTTCCGAAGAAGGATCACTGGACCTGAAACATTAACTCTGCTTTCTTTCCACAGATGCTGCCAAACCTGCTCAGTTTCTCCAGCAATTTGTTTTTGTTTCAGATTTCCAACATCCACAGTTCTTTGTTTTATATTAGATAATTTTATTGCCATTTGTGATTTCTTGCTGTGTGCAAACCAGCTGCCACTTGTCCTACACGTTATAAATACCTTTTTAACTTGTTTAGGGGATGTAGCCTCAGCCATCATTGGTTTCCCATGCCAAATTGCCCCTTGATTTTAGTGGCTTGCTGGAGCCAATTCAGGGGGCAGTTAAGTGTAAATCACATTGCTAGCGGGCTGGTGTCACGTGTAGGCTTCACCAGGTAAGGATAGTAGATTTCCTTCCCCAAATAGGGGCGGCACGGTGGCTCAGTGGTTCGCACTGCTGCCTCACAGCACCAGGAGCCTGTGTTTGATTCCACCCTCAGGCGACTGTCTGTGTGGAGTTTGCACATTCTCCCTGTGTCTGCGTGGGTTTCCTCCAGGTGCTCCGGTTTCCTCCCACAGTCCAAAGATGTTCAGGCAAGGTGGATTGGCCATGCTAAATTGCCCATAGGGATCAGGGATGTGTAGAATAGGAGGATGGGTCTGGGTAGGATGCTCTGAGGGTTGGTGTGGACTTGTTGGGCCAAAGGACCTGTTTCCACGCTGTAGGAATTCTATGATTCCAAAGGTCGTTAGTGAACCAGATGGCTTTTTACAACAATACAATCATCATATGGTCATCGTTGGGCCGGCTTTTTAACTTCAGATTTTTATTGAGTTCAAATTTCACCATTTTCCATGGTGAGATTCATACCCATATCCCTAGAGCATTAGCCTGGGGTTTTCGACTACTTGCCAAATGAAATCACTTTACAGTAACATCACCTCTTCCCCAAGGTACTGAAGCATCTTTGGAAGTCCTGACATTATGAAAGGCACTTTCTCATTAAAAGTCTTCTTTTTATGTGGTGGGTTAGTAGTTGCCTGAAGTGGATGATGACAAGGAAGAGAATGCAGTGATTGGCCCTATCCTCAATGATGGAAAAGCCCAACACATCACTGTAAAAGATGACATTTTTGGCTGAAGCTTTGGCAACAACCTTCAGCCGGAATGCCAAGTGGATGAACCGTCCTAGCCTCTTCCAGTGGCCCCCCAGCATCAAAGATGCCTGTCTTCAACCAATTTAGTTTATTCCACGTGATATGAAGAAACAGTTGGAGGCATTGGTACTGCAAAGGCTATGGGCCCTGACAACATTCTGGCAACAGTACTGAAGACTTGTGCTCCATAACTTGCTGCTCCCCAGCCAAGCTGATCCAGTACAACTACAACATTGGCTTCTTCATGGCAATATGGAAAATTGCCCAGGTATATTCTTTACACAAAAAGCAGGATAAACCCAGCTCAGCCCAATTACCATCCCATTAGTCAGGTCTTGATCATCAGTAAAGTGATGGAAGGTGTCATCAACAGTGCTATCAAGCAGCACCTGCTCAGCAATAACCTGCTCAGTGTGTACTCTCAGTTTGGTTTCCGCCAGCTCCTGACTCATTACAGCCTTGGCTCAAACATGAACAAAAGTGCTAAATTTCAGAAGTGAGGTGTGAGTCCATCCCTTAACATCAAGGCCGCATTCGACCATGTGTGGAATCAAGGAGCCCCAGCAAAAGTGGAATCAATGGGAATCTGTTGCTTGGAGTCATACATGGCACATAGGAAGATGGTCGTGGTTGTTGCAGGTCACTCATCCTGGGTACAGGATATTCAGGGTAGTGTCATAGGCCTAACCATCTTCAACTGCTTCATCAATCACTTTGCCTCCATTCTAAGGTCAGAATTGGGAATGTTTGGCGATGATTGCACAATGTTCTGCACCATTTCCAGTGGTTACAAGAGCAGGTCAAAATCTAAGAATACTGTAGTGAGTAACTCACCTCCTGACTCCCCAAAGCCAATCCATCATTTACAAGGCACAAGTCAGGAGTATGAGGGAATGCTCTCCACTTGCCTGGATTGGTGCAGCTGCAACAATACTCAAGAAGCATGACACTATCCAGGATTAAGCAGCCCAGTAGATTGGCACCACATCCATAAGCGACCACTCCCTCTATCACCGAAGCTCAGTAGCAGCAGTGTGTACTATCTATAAGACCTCTGCAGAAATTTACCAAGGCTTGTTAGACAGCACCTTCCAAACACATGACCTTCATCTAGAAGGACAAGAGCAGCAGATGCATGGAACACCACTACTTGCAAGTTTCCCTCCAAGCCACTCATCATCCTGACTTGGATATATATTGCTGTTCCTTCACTGCTGCTAGGTCAAAATCTTGGAATTCTTTCCCCAATAGCATTGTGAGTGTACCTACTCTGCATGAACTGTAGCGGTTCAAGAAGGCAGCTCACCAGCCCCTCCTCAAGGGAAACTAGGGTCGAGCAATAAATACTGGCCCAAACAGCAACGTCCAGTCCCAAGTACCATGAGTGAATACAATGAGTGTCCCAAGGTCCCCCTGCCGAGACTGCGGGAAACATTACATCGGACAAACAGGAAGGAAACTAACAACAAGAGTACATGAACACCAAATGGCTACAAAAAGACACGACCAATACTCACTCATCTCAATCCACATGGACAAGGAGAACCACCACTTCGACTGGAACAACACCAAAATCCTGGGACAGGCTAGGCAGAGACAGGCACGAGAATTCCTAGAAGCCTGGCACTCCACAAAGCATGCTATTAATAAACATATTGAACTCGACCCCATATACATTCCACTACGAAGGAAAACCGGAAGTGAGGCAATCCATCTCAACGGACCCCAGAGTTTAAAAACCAGGTGGGAAAACACACCGACGCTTCATCGGAGGCTGCACTGAGGATGTTACCCAGCATGGTAACAAAACGTCTGCGAAACAAGAAATCAGCTCGGCGAGCCAACCAACCTCAACACGGGGTCATACATTTAAGACAGGGAAGAGAAAGAATTTCTATTTTTTAAGAGGATGAATTTCTTCTCTTAGAGGCTTGTGAATCTGAAATTCTTCACTGCAGAGGGCTAGTGAAGCTGAGTTGTTAAGTTTATTCAAGGCTGTAATGGATAGATTTTTAATCAGTAAGGAAATCAAAGGCTATCGTAAAAGGCACTAATGTGGATTTGAGAATCATCAGATCAGCCATGATCTCATTGAAAAGCGGAGCAGATTGGATGGGCTGAATGGCCTACTTCTGCTCCTATGTCTTATGGGTCTTATCGTCATAAAAGAAAACAAATGCATTCTTCAGATGTGGGGTTATAAAGTATCTGGGCAAGTATTTAGTCTCTTACTGCTGTCAGAAGTTCACCATTCATCTGCTAGCAACAGCCTCAAAACTCCTGTTTACCTCCTATACCGGTAGTTATTCATTAAGTCACAGAGAAAGAAATGAACACCTCCCACGCAGCAAAGTGGTACACGATTAAGGTGAACAGTTACTTACGAAATGGCCTCAATCATATCCACCCCCATTTCGACACAACAGTGTGCATGATCTGCTCGAGCTTCAGGTAGTCCCGAAACACAGTAATAGCAATCACCCAGGATCTTAATACGCAGGCAGTGGTTCTCCTGAGAAGGTAACAAGAGAGAGAGAAACAAAATAAGTAAGCTAAAGACTGCTGGAGAAGGAACAACTTCATGATTGCAGATAGTGTTTTTGTTAACTTAGTTTTGGTCACCTTACTTAAGGAGGGATACACTTGCATTGGAAGCAATCAGAGAAATTTGTCTTGACTTCTGGGATGAAGGGATTTATCTTATGAGGAAAGGATGAGCCCCCACTCATTGGAGTTTACCAGAATAAAAGGTCACCTGATTGGAACATAGCATATTCCAAAGGGGTTTGACAGAGCAGGTGTTGAGACGATATTTCTTCATGGGGGAGCCTCAAAATAGGGGGTATAGCTTAAAGATAAGGGGTCTCCCTTTTGAGATGGAGAAGAGGAAAAATTTCTTCTCTCATAAAGTTTTTGGCATTCTCTTCCCTCGAAAGCAGCCGAGGCTGGGTCATTGATGATATTCAAAGCTGAGTTACATGACTTTTGTTTGACAGGGTAACCAAGGTTAATGGATGGAAGGGACAGTCAGAAAAATGTTGCCATGGCCACAATCAGATTAGCCACGATTGTATCAAATAGCAGAGCAGGCTCAAGGGCCCGAATGGCCTACTCCTGCTCCTGATTCCTAAGTCCTATGAGTCTTGTGGCTGCCAAAATAACTATGGAAGATACAACAGCGCGATGGGACAACACATAACATAAAGTCATCCCAGGCAGTGCGCATTTACCGATGCAAGCTTGTCAAATCTGGCGAAGAGTTCGTTGAGTGTCATGACCAGTTCCTGAGCCGTGCACTGCGAGGCCAAACTGGTGAATCCTTCAATATCTGCAAAGAGGATGCTGGAACAGACAAATAGGGGGTAAAGAAGGAAAACATTTTAATTGTAGAACAGCTGACATATAAAGGATAATGAAGAGGTTTAAAGTACATGAAATGATCCTAAACAACCAAGCAAATCATCTGCGCAGCAGTAATGTGAATCTCTTATCGGTCATGTCAGGCAATTTTAATCTTTTAAACAGCCAAGGAGCAGCCTAGTTACAAATAGTGATCACTAAAAAAGAAGGTAAGAAACAACATTCTTTCTTCGTTCAAGGGGTCCAGGCTTTACTGAATGGGCCAATGTGCCTTGAGAAGGTGGTGGTGAGCTGCCTTCTTGAACCACTACAGTCCTTTAGCTCTAAGGAGACCGACTGTGCAATTAGGTTCGGATTTTCAAGGTTCTGACCCAGTGACACTCAAGGAACAGTAATATATTTCCAAGTCAGGATAGTGAGAGGTTTGGAGAGGAACTTGCAGGTAGTGCGTTCCCATGTATCTTCTGCCTTTGTCTTTCTAGGTGGTGGTGGTTATGGGTTAGGAAAGTGCTGTCTAAGGATCTTTGGTGAATTTCTGCAGTCTAACTTGTAGACGGTGCATACTGCTGCTACTGGCCATCAATGATAGAGGTAGTGGAAGTTTGTAGAAGTGATTCCAATCAAGCAGGCTTCTTGAGGATGGTGTCAAACTTCTTGAGTGTTGATGGAGCTGCACCCATCCAGTGAAGTGGGGGTATTCTGTCACACCCATAACTTATGCCTTGCAGGCACTTGACCAGCTTTGAGGAGTCAGGAGGTGTTTTGCTTGCTGCAGGAATTCCTAGCTTCTGACTTGTTCTTGGAGCCACTGTATTTATGTGGCTGAGGACTGCATTTCTAGAGCACCTTTCACAACCTCAGAATTTCAAAACACTTGACAGTAAGTGAAGTACTTTTGAAGTCCGGTCATTGCTGAAATGTAAGGAATGTTGCACTGGTTTGTACACAACAAGTTCTTTTAAACTATTAACAACCAGATAATACGTTGCAGTGATGTTAATTGAGGAATAAATATTGCATAGGACTCCAGGATTATCCCCGGCTCTTCTTCAGAATAATACTGGCATGTCCATAAGGTCCCCTCACCAACTTCTACAGATGCACCATTGAAAGCATACTGTCCGGATGCATAACGGCCTGGAATGGCAACTGCCCCGCCCAGGACCGTAAGAAACTACAGAAGATGGTGTGCACAGCCCAGACCATCACGGAAGCCAACATTCCATCCATAGACTCCATTTAAATGGCTCGCTGCCATGGAAAGGCTGCCAACATCATCTCTAGCCTCAAATAACGCTGATTTTACTAACGTTGATCTTGCCTAGTGCACGCCCTGTGCAATGCAACCCATATGCCTCTATCTAAGTCTTTTTGATCTGTACATCCTTTGCTTACTATGATCTGCTTGTACCACTTGTAAACAAAGCTTTTCACAGTATTTCAGTACACGTGACAATAAATCAATCAATCAATCTATCAGGATCATCCTTAGAATAAGAGATAGGCCATTTAGGATTGAGATGAGGAAAAATTTCTTCATCTAGTGGGTGGTGAGCTTGTAGAATTCTCTATGACAGAAGGTGGCTGAGGCCAAAACATTGAACAGTTGCAAGAAGATGTCAGCTATAATTCTTAGAGTTAAAGGGATCAAAGGGTATGGGGAGAAAGTGAGGAGAAGGTATTGAGTTGGATGATCAATCATGTCATAAGATCATAAGGTATCAGAACAGAATTAAATTATTTGGCCCATTGAGTTTGCTGCACCATTCAATCATGATTGAAATGTTTCTCAACCCCATTTTCCTGCTTTCTTCCCACTGATACTCCTACTACTCAAAAGCCTATCTATCTCTGTCTTAAATACACTCAATGACTTGGTCTCCACAATCTTCTGCAGCAATGAGTTCCACACTCCAACTGAAGAAATTCCTCTTCATCTCAGTTCTAAAGGGCTGTTCCTTCACTCCAAATCCGTGCCCTTGGCCCTAGTCTCTCCTATTAGTGGAAACTTCTTCTCCACATCCACTGTATCCAGGCCTTTCATATTCTGTAAGCTTCAACGAAATCCCCCTTCGTCCTTCTAAACTCCATCAAGTATAGACCCAGAATCCTCCACAGCTGCTCATGTGACAAGCCTTCATCCCCAGGATCATTCTTGTAAACCTCCTCTCGACCCCCTGCAACACCAGTACATCCTTCCTTAGAAACTGGGCCCGAAACCTCTCACAATATTCCAAATGCAGGCTGACCAGAGCCTTATAAAACCTCAAAAATACATGCCTGCTGTTGTATTCTAGCCCTCTTTAAAGGAATGCTAACATTGCTTTTGTCATCCTAAAGGCCAACTGAATCTGCACGTTAACCTTAAGAGAATCCTGAACTAGAACTCCTAAGTTCCTTTGTACTTCAGATCTCCGAAGCCATTCCCCAGTTAAAACATAGTCTATGTCTCTATGCTTCCCACCAAAGTGCATAACTTTACATTTTTCCACATTGTATTCCATCTGTCAATTCTTTGACCCTCTCCTAGTCTGTCAAAATCCTTCTGCAGCTTCCCTGCTTCTGCAACATAACCTGTCCCTTCACCTTTCTTTGTGTCATCTACAAACTTAGCAACAATACTCTCAGTTCCTTCGTCCAGATTATTAATGTACAATGTGAATAGTCGCCATAGCCATGGTCGAAATCTGCCATCTGGAAAAGACACTTCTATCCCTACTCTCTGCCTTCTGCCAGCCAGTCAACGCTCTATCTGTGCCAGTACCTTGCTCCTAACACCATGGACTCTTATCTTATTTCGCAGCATCCCGTGCAGCACCTTGTCAAAGGCCTTTGGTAGGAAAAGCTCGAAGGGTCAAAATGTCTTCTTATGTTCCTGTTTCTATGAATCGTTTAAGAGTCTTGAATTACTTACTTAATTTGTCCCTGGTACTGCTGGACTTGTGAACAGGGGATGCAAAGTCAAAGTTCCTAATCCAGCAATTATGTACTGTACTGCTACAGGTGCCATCTTTTTAATAAGATTTCAAACTGCGATCCTGACTGACGTCATAGTTTCCAGCTACAAAATCGTTTAGGACATCCTAGGTTTTGAAAGGTGATAAGAGAAATGCAAATTCATTGCTATTGTCAAACCATCACTGCAAGGAGTACGGTTGTCCAGGTCATATGAGAATGGCATGGCAACAGCATCAAGATTAAACACTTTCTCCCACCCTCTCATTGTTCAGCTTCCTACCCCCCAGACTGCCAAATAACCTCCTGGAAGAAGCTAAATGACAGAAAGAAAAATGAGGCAAAGAAAAATACTCTTAAAAATTCCATCTTCCTCATGCAGTCGAGAAAAGCAAAGAAGACGAATAGGGTGGGGAAGAGCTGTGGAGGATGGAAAAGGTTAGATGGGCAAGAGAGAGCAGGGGAGGGGAGGGAAGAGGAAGAGGGTTTGTCAAGAACAAGGGAGGTGAGTGACTGCAGGGAGGGGTGACCAGGGAGGGCATGATGGGAGTGAGGAAGGGGTAAAATGGTATCTGGTGGGGCAATGACAGAGCAGGAAAAGATAGGAAAAACAGGGAGAGTTTGGGTGAGTGGTAGAGAGTGGAAGAGAGAGGTGGGAGTGGGAGATAGTATGGGGAATGGAGGAGAGAATGGAGAATGTGACAGAGTTGTGCATGGTTGGGACAATGGGGGGACAAATGGAGGAAAGTGCATGTGGGTGGGGAAGGTCTAGGGAGGACTAAGGAGAGCAAAGGGAGTGGAGTGGATCAGGTGATGGGGGACGGCAGTGTGTAGAAAGGGACAGACAGCAAGTGGGTGGGGGACAGGAGGAGAAGGACTGGGAGAGGGTGAGGAAAGAGGGGTAGGGTGAGAGAGTGAGCAGAGTAAGTTCTGAGGAATTGGAGGAGGGTGGGAGGAGTGGTGAGCACGTTTGGACTGAATAAACACAAGCTCTGTTTGTCCAGAAACCTACGAACATTAAGATTTCTGCACAGTGTCATTAGTTGTCTATATCTGTCACTGCTCAGCAGCAAGAGTATCACGGACACCCAAAAATGTAATAAAACAAAAACAAGTATCAACACATACAGCCTAATGCTAAGACCAAATGCTTTTAACGATTATCCAGGGTACAGCACTGTTATAGTCTATTCACATCAGTAAACAAAATAGTCATACACGCATATCAACTTTAAACACATAAGGATCTTCCTGTTTTGACTGATCTGAGTTTATATGGACTGTCAGGATAATAAATTCCCACACCATTCCCCTGCCTCATTTCGATATAAATAACTCTGAATTAATTTTTTTCTGGTTAATTCCATACTTGTTCACTTGAGGAAGATTGCTGGTCAGGGATGTTGCACTGAGGCAATCTGAGGAAATGCTGAACTGTTGGAGACACAGCCTTGCCTGTCAGATGTAAAATGATGCTCAGTTTGCCCTCCCACGTGGATGTAAAAGATCACCTTGGCACTACTTCTAAAAGATCAGTGATATTCTTCAAATAAACAAATTAAGAGCAAGAATAGGCCATTCAGTTTCTTCACACATGGATATCTATGTGCACAGATTATTGAAGGTGGCAGGACAGGTAGAGACAGCAGTTAATAAAGCATAGTTTGCTCAGCTTTATTTATTACGGCATGGAGTATAAAAGCAAGGAGGTGATTTTGAATTTGTACTAGATTCTTGTTAAGACCTCAGCTGGAGTATTGTGTACAGTTGTGGGTGTCACAATATAGAAACAACGTGAAGGCATTGGAGAGAGTACAGAAGAATGGTTCCAGGAACAAGAAACTGCAGTTAGAATAGATTGAAGAAGTTGGGACTGTTTTCCTTAGGGAGAAGAAGGCTGAGAAGGGCTTTGATAGAGGTTTTCAAAATCATGAGCAGACAGGATATAGGAGACAGAGAGAAACTGCTCCCACATAAATGACAAAAGAATGAGGGGGCATGGATTTAAAATGATGTGCAAATGAAGC